GAGGCAATCGAAGTAATCGTCCCAGGTGTAGTTGGGGTTTCGAGGGCATAGTGTTTGGTTGGAGCATATGGGAGCCTCCTTGTCAACCCAGGGGTAGGTCATTTCCTTGTAAAACTCCAGATGGTTGGCCGAGGTGGTTGGACGCATAAAAGAAGCCGACACGACGGTGGGCAAGCAGAGGTAGGCGTAAATCCACATAGCGCACACTCGAGGGAGAACAACTGTCGACTTAGCAGTGTTAGTGGAAGCCAAGTTCTAAATGCGACTGATACAGTGAGACAGACGAGTCGTAGTGTGGATCTCACAATGTGGAAACTGATGTGAGTCCTACGACTCATAAAAGATGAGGCACAGACTTTCCGAGTTGGAAAGTCCAACTAGTCGAGCTGACCCTCTACCATTTCGATTCAGGAGTCCTGATTCTGAATCAGGATTGATTTCGAATTGCATCCCAACTATTGATAAGTACTGCATCATACAGTAGTGCAGAATAACAGCCTGTTGTTCACAAGCTGTGCCGATTCGGCACTGCCGAACCGTGTTGTTCGCGTTGTGCGGCCCGCACAAAATGTCGCGTGTGATTTAGTGAGCCGCGAATCGCGGATCGCGGCCCGCGATTCGAGATAGTGAAAGCCCCTCCGACTCGAGAGTGTGGGATTGGAGAACCGGGGCGCCATTCAGCGAAGGCTGGATTTCCAAGTGTGCGCGAGATTGCCAATCAAGCAACGTTCAACGTTGCCACTAGTCTCAGACTAGTAGTCTTATTGTCTAATCTGTAGATCGGCAATCGGGGAATCCATGACCTGCGAATGCGCCGAAGGTTCTATGTGGCAGGGACCGCATGGTGCGAATTAGGTCTTACTTGTTGCACACCGATACGGGCCCGGCACACATCCCCTGGGTCGGGTGGGTGTGGTTAAAGCGCATCAGGCCAGTGGTGCATTGCTGCTCCACATGGAAACAAGGAATTGTTAGGCTAAGTTCCGTGGGATGGCCGCACACATATCTTGCACGCATGTGTGCGTATGCACGTGCAGATTGTGTGCTCTTCGCGGTGCGTTCCAGGTTTGCATAGTCTCATTGATAGAGGTAACGTGCCTCAGTAACGTGAATGACATTCACGTTACTGAGGTGATTTCACTGCCGCAACGCTCCGCTAAGCTCTCAAAACTCAACTGTCTTCTGCATCTCTTTGAGACATGCCGAAACTAGGAGTCATCGGATTACGTTTGAATGTTTCCATGTTCACGCAACAGCCCTTCTGCCGATCTCGGCAGTTGACGGCAGTGCAGATGGCAGATGAGGTCCCAAATGGCAAGATACGGATGAGGTCCCAAATGGCAAGATACGGATGAAGTCCCAAATGGCAAGATATGGAAGAGGTCCCAAATGGCAAGATACAGATGAGGTCCCAAACGGCAAGATACTAATGAGATCATGATTACCTGGAAAAGAACTACACGTTTTCAATCTCGAATTCAGCAAATGAAAGAACAAATTAGAAAAATGAAATTTGATTTTAGTCGGATGAAAGGAGTTTTTCACCGAATGAAAGTCCAAATTCGTGGATGAAATTTATGAATTCGGAAACACAAGTTGAAATTCGTCAAACACAAGACCAATTTCGACCAATGAAAGCTCATTTTCATCACGTCTCGAAATGCACTATTCACACTACACGCACTTGCACCACATCTCGATATGCGCTATTCACACTCCACGAGGTGACAACTCGCACAATGTGCGAAGACTGCTCGAGGTACTTCTCAAATGTGAATAGTTATTGCACTGAGTGAGATTCACGGGTGATTCTCCGGGAAGTTGGGTCACATCGGTCCGTCGG